TGCACACACACACACACACACACACAACTCACGGTAGGACACAACGCTGACTTTGTGGACGTGTGTAGAGGAAGACCGGGTGGTACCACCAGGCGCTGAAGCTGGGGGGAAGAGGTGCAGTCACTGAAATCAAAGGTACGCCACGCAATGACACGACGCACACGCACACACGAGAAAGGCTCACTCTTTGGTGCCTCCTTGCAGAAAAGCAGCAGCTCCAGTTCCGGCTGCTCGAGCGGAAGCGGGCACAGGAGCACCAGAGGACCGCAGCCAGCGCCGTCCTCTTCAGGAACGGCAAGTTCGGGTACGTCCGTCGGGAGAGCTCCTGTGTTGCGTGCGATGATCGCGCAGCTCTCCTCACCACACTTCTCTCTCTCTCTTTTCACCATGATGACTAGTCGTCCACACGAGCCTCGAAGGGAAGAAGGCCAAGAAGAAGCGGACGCTGGTGCCCGAGTTCGAAGTCCTCGGATGGCGGCCCTCACGCGCGAGCGACGTGGCCGCTGCGTCGCACCTGCTTTTTAGTTCTTTCTTTTTTATTTTTTATTTCCTTATTTTCTCTTTTATTTCCTTATTTTCTCTTTTTATTTCTGGTGGGTTTGCACTGGGCTCTACTCAGGCCTGTCTGTGCGCTGGCTCTCGTTCGCTTCTTCTGGAAGAGAAGAAGAAGAAGAAGGGAGCGAACTGAACGCTGAGAGATAGTAGGGGGCTCTCAGACCAGGCCGAGGCGGCCCGTTCGGTACCGACGTGTGGGAACAGCAAAAAATAACAAAAGGAAAAATAAGGAGGCATACCACCAAAAAAAGAATGGAGTTGGAGACGACAGGGGGCGATCGCAGTTCCGAGGTGTGGGAGAAGGCGGGCATACCTGACGACTTGCGCCCTCTCAATCCAGAGCTCATCAGCCAGGGCGCTGAGGCTGTACGCCCTCTCCAACTGCATCGATTTCATCTTTTTTATTCTGTTAATTTATTCATCTTGTGCGATCTGGTGCCGTGCAGCGAGTGTACAAGGCCACCTTCCTGGGGCGGCCAACGATCGTCAAGGAGCGGTTCACCAAAGCCTACCGCCTGCCTGAGCTCGACGTCAAGCTCAACCAGTCCCGCATCACGCAGGTGCGCCCACCGACGACAACGCGTGTGCGTGTGCGGTGGTGCGGCAACTGAACGTGTGTGTGTGCGGTGGTGCGGTGGTGCGTGTGCGGTGGAGCAGGAGGCGCGATGCCTGGTAAAGGG